GTTTTATGCCTTTTGGAAATGAATGAAAATCATATCTGGAAGTTAATGCTTCATGAGCTGGCATGTAACTATTATATTTCTGATTTGGATACCATCTTTACTCTGCATAAGAGACAATTAAGGGATTGGTTATTTTGGGCAAACTCTAGAAAAGACCTGCAATTAATCAAAAACTCCAAATTCTTTTAGTGGTTTCTTCTTTTGAAAACAAATCATTATAGAGCTAATTATGACATGAACCTGGTAGGCATGTTGTGAGCGGAGCTGGCTAGAGCCGGGGTTCAGACTAGATGGGCCAGGAGACCCCTTCTGACTCGCTCTGTTTCTATGCTTCTATCTCCCAGACTGAGACCATCTTCTTTAAGAAATGTCTTTACTGAGTCACGATTTCAAATTATGTCAACTGAAGTTTTAGATGGGCAATATAATAAGGTGCCTTTTGAATGCAGATTATGTATCTGTGGTCTATATCACACTGAAGACATAGTTCATCATATGTTAATCTGTCATCTATATACTGCACCCAGAGAGAGATTCTTGAAACCCCTGCTAACATATGGATACAGGATTGCCTTGGCAGAAACAGTTCTTTTTCTTTGAAGTGATGTTATTATGTGACACATAAAGTTGCTTTGTTTGCTTTGGCAGCAAAAAAGATCTAGAAGAAAGTATTAGACTAAATTGCTATAAAATGCATTGAAGATTCAGAGTTAAGTTAAAGATTAATTTCTGCTCCTAGTATATTTTAATTTATTTATATTGTTAATCTATGTCTATGTACATTCATTTGATGTATTTGTCATGGCTTTTGGCTAGTACAATAAACTTCAAACAGACTTTGGTCCAGCTTTGGAGAGGACACTGCAAGGAAATGATTGGTGCTAACTGCATAGCACCCCCTGCCTTCCCTGCCATGAATTTCTGCCTTCCCTAAACCTCTGAGCAATGCTTTGCCATTGAGAGACAGACATCACAATAAAACCTTTTAATCAGGACTACTGCTTACTCTTCCCAGCACTAGAGCCAGCTGGGCAACCAAAGCAAAAAGGACAGGAATCAGACTGAAGCATACACGCAAAGGCAGAGGACACCATACATCCTTTGGGTTGCTTCCTCTGCAGCAGGCCCCGAGCAAGAGAAGAGCACAGAGGTGGTTTTTTCTTTATTTTTTCCACATGAACTATGCCAAATGAAGCTTTCAATAGCAGTGGCTGGGATAAAGGAGGTGAGATCCGTACTCTGCTTGGGAATCCCACAGATGGCAGGCTGGTTTAGGAAAACATAATACCATATTACATGGCCCTTGTTCTTATCCAACAAGACAATTCTCATGGCAGCTTTCCCCATCTTAACACCTTTGAGATGCCTTGGACTACCACACCCATCATCTACAGTCAGCTTGGAAGTAGCAGTCTAGCACATCTAGAGGGTGTGAAGCTGGGAAAGGATGTTCTATGGTCATGTTCTTATATAGGTTCAAAACTCCACTATAAATTTTGCTGAGTGACCTTGCTAAGTGACATTGTTCACATAAGACCCCAGGCTCTCCATAGCTTATTTAACCCAGAATGAGCTGTGGCTGGTATTATGGGTACTCAAGCATTACTTAAATGTTGAATAAACCATGGTGGCTGGGTTCAGATGACATACCACAACCCCCTTGGGGGTTGCATATTCATAATGGCAATTCTATGTGCTTGGCATCCACCACAACTCATTGTGGGTTGAATTACTCATGGTGAGCCTAGTGTGCGGGGCAAATAAGCCAATGATCTCTTATGCTAAACTACCTCACAGGTGGGGGGGGGGGTTTGGAAAAAAAATAGGTTGGGTGTAAGGAATGTGCTTACCTTGAAACCTTGAAGGACATCAAGGTTACAGATATAATAGATAGAATGCCATTATGTACACTAATGTGCAATGCTATGCATCTTTAAAGGTAAAGGTTTCCCCTTGACGTTAAGTCCAGTCATGCCTGACTCTAGGGGGCAGTGCTCATCTCCATTTCCTAGCAGAGGGAGCCAGCGTTTGTCCGTAGACAGTTTCTGTGGTCATGTGGCCAGCATGACTAAACACCAAAATGCACGGAACACTGTTACCTTCCCACCGAAGTGGTACCTTTTTATCTACTTGAATTTGCATGCTTTCGAACTGCAAGGTTGGCAGGAGCTGGGACGGAGCAATGGGAACTCACCCCATTGTGCAGATTCGAACCGGCGACCTTTTGATCAACCAGCCCAGCAGCACAGCAATTTAAAGCACTGTGCCACCTGCATCCTTTGCATGTTTACTCAGAAGTAAATCCCACTGTATTTAGTGGAACTTGCTCCCTAGTATATGGATTACAGTTTAAGATGCCACATGGCTCTTCATTGTATTTAATACCTTTCTTACTCTTTGTAATGTTTACAATTTACAGATTTAAAGTGGTGTTAAAACAAAGAGAGCCCTGTGTGTCCCAGAAAAATGCATAGAATTGCACATTTCATTTCAGTTAAGCATGAACTCAGATTTGAGCCTCAATCTTGTACACAGCATATTGTGACATAGATATAACATCAGGCTTTGTTTTAATTAGTTTGTTTCTTTGCACCAATGGGAATGAATCAATGGGTGAAACCAATGTTGTTGGCCCTTTACGCTCTGCTGAAAATGAATTGCTGATCAGGATCTTAAGCACCTCGCCATGAAAATGAGATTCACTGAAATCAATGCAGCTGTAGGGACTGGGTCCTCTTCTCTCAGACAACAGCATTCTGTGGTGCATATTTCACACTCTGAGTTAAAAATGGAATTAAAAACAGGTTCAGAATGCTTAGTTGACATTCCAAGGCCAGCAACATTTGTGATAAGTCAAGTGGCTGTTGAGAGCCAGACTGCCTCTGGGTTTGGGGGTGGGAAGATGAGGGAGGGTCAGAGGGGGAGGGGTGTGGTTTTATCATCTGTGTGTTCTGCTGTAAAAGTAAAAGGAGCTGATCTTAAGTAATGTCCAGCATTCCTACCATTTGACCCACAAAAGTGAACCTCCCTGTGGGTGAAGCCACTTCTGTTTGGTGGGGAAGGGAACAGGGGAATTCAGTTAGGAATCAGCTTCTGGCATGGACAGAACTAAATCCACAATGAGTTCTTAATGGATGCCTCTTGCTAACAACCTTTCTATTACTTTTTTTGTATCACAAAGCCAGTCCTTGCTGTTCAGTTTTAAAATAATGAATATTGTAGTTGGAAGTCTCTAGCCCTAGTCTGTTGAGAAAAGGAGAAGTTTGGAAGAGAGGGATATTGGCTCTCAGCAGGAACTTATTTTCAATTACATCTTGCATCTAGAATTAGGGATGCATGTATATATTTAGATGTGTTGATAGCCACTCTGCTATGAACTATAGATAACAACCATGCACACAATCTGAAGACATTTAAGCATGCTTCAGATTAAGAGCTATTCAAACACAGTATCCTAGTATTCCAATACAGCTCAGGGTGGCCTAAATTTCTTTACAAATAATAAGTATAATCCAAAGAAAAATAATGCATATTCTGGACACGAAGGACTCAGAACCAAAATAATGAATAGAAAGGATTGGAGAGTAGAAATTGTGTAGAATGAAAGCTATTGATGAATTTTTGTATGTCAGAATATACATCTGGGCAAATTAGATTCTCTATAGTAAAGAACAAACTCATTCCCTGAGTGTGGATCCCTATGAAACCAAAATGTAGAGTTGGTACTAGGTACCAAAAAGATTTGGGGCTCAGGTCCATAGGACAAAAATAGTGCAAATTTTCATGTGCTAATCTACATATGCAAATATGTACACAATTAGAAATCATTACTATTATATGAACTGTATAGAAGACAAGCTAATTAACCTCTTGCTTGTTTTCAAGAGGGAACTGTACAATTTCTCAAACTGTGCATGCTTAAAACTTACTGTTTATGTATGCACACTATTCCTTGATCTTTCAGGCCAAAATCCAGTAGGGGTGGTTGGAGCACCTGGGACCAGCAAAAAGCTATATGGAACCTTAAATGTTCCATATGGAACCATAAACTGCAAACTGAATAAGACACACTGATAAGTAAGACCATGGGAGCAGATTGTAATCTAGAATAACCCATGTGCCTGGGCTGCAACCTTACACAATTACTAGGGAGTTACCTCAATGAAACATCGTAGAATTTATCACTGAGTAAATCCGCACTCCCTCTTCTTATCACCATCACGAGCAGGCACAACAGCATCAGGCAAAGACTTCAGGATCCCGTTCCTGACCAGTCAAACAGACCTACTATCAAAGGTGACTCCTCATTTTATTTCAAATACCTTACTTCAGTAGTTTCCTGGAATCTATTTTTTAACAGTTCTTAAGCCCTTATTGCTGGAAATCCTAAAACCTACAGCAATTTTTGCAATATTAAAAATGTTAGCAATTACATAGTAATACATCTCTTAACATACCAAAATGCTTAGTTGCGTATCTTTACCGTTGTAGGTTTTATTTGAATGAGAATATTCCTTTAGTGTCCAATCCTAAACCTACTTATTAGGACGTAAATCCCATTGTGTTCACCTTGATTTATTTCTGAGTAAGACGGTTTAGGATGTTAATTGATAAGGATTGTAAAGTCATGACTCAATACAGGGAAGAAAAACAAATAACGACAAAGCATTATTCCTAAACGCGGAGATTTCGATCGAATCTTTTCTGTAAAAATGCGAACAGCTTTTTTTTAGTTTCTTAGAAAGCTTCTGGGATACTGCAAAAGGCTGAAAAGAAAACAAAATTAAAATGAGCGCTGGTACGGTTTGGGAAATATAGAATCGCCGTGTCAAAAACTGCCCGGTTTTTGCTAGGACGAATAAGAATACCGGCAGCAAATGTTTTTCTTTGCTTAGGACCAGGCAATTAAACGCAACCCCCCCACCCCCGTAGCGACTACAACTCCCAGAAGACATCACGCGGCCAAACAAACTGTCTCTCGTTCCTCCCTTCCGCCGGCTCTCGCGATATTCTGGGTTGTGTTCCCTTCACCCGGCCTAGGCGGATTCAACCCATCGCTGTGCCTGGCAATGGCCGATCCCAAGTATGCGGACCTGCCCGGCATTGTGAGTTCGCGAAAGAAAGGCGCCTTTGTGTGGAGAAAGCAGCGGGATGGAGGCAATAGGGATGAGTCCGCCATAAGATAGAGGAGAAGGAGGAAGGCTGGCGAAGGGAAGGACAGGGAAGGGTGGGGTCGGACGGGATGACTGGATAGAGAAGCTGTTGGAGGGAGGGCTGCTTGGAAGCGGAAAGGATGGATTGCATTGCAGGGAGGCAAGATAAGGAGCTGAATGGGAGGTCAGAGGGGGTTTGGAGTGGCGGTGCAAAGGGAGGCTGGGGGACAGGGATCTAGCTGAGGATATTAGGTCTCAGAGAGAGCTTAGCTCCTCACGACGTGCAGGTTTTCTGACGCTGATAAGCTCAATAGTATGTGATGTAGTAATAAAAGAATGCCCCTGAGGATGTGCAGAGTGCCTTTTCTTTCATTGCAAAGGAAGTGCCGCAAAACTCCATAAGGAGTGAGGAAACCAAGTGTGGGTTACTGGTTATGTCCAGGAGGGGTGGTAATTCCCTTGGGAATAGGGGTTGCTCTTTATTACTTGGTTGTAGTTGAGTATTTGTACAAGATGGATGTTGTCTAACTGGATGTTGAGATACGGAAGATAGGACGGGGAAATTAGGGAAGTATTTTCTGCCTACCTCCCATTTTCCGGTTTTTGTTTTCCAGTCCTTCACATATCCAAGAGCACAACCCTATCCCTTTTAGGCAAAAAGAGCCTACAAATTCCAGTATGCTCCGGCCAACCATTGTAGGCCTTACGTAGGATTGTGGGTGGAAGGATAAGTTGAATGGAAAATGTGACAGCTAGAGAACCTCATAAGTGGCTGCTGTAGGTTCAAATGATCTACCTGGCCTTAGTAAATGGTGCAGCTCTTAAGGCAGGCTTTCTCCAAAGGCATATATGGTTCAGAGCTCAAAGCTGAAATTTTAAAGTTGAATTCTCCCTCTGAATTCACAAAGGGAAAAATTTGCAGTTTTGAAATATGTTAGAGTGAAGGACAATTTTTATTCCATTATCTTAAATGTGAGTGTGTATGTAGAGGAGCTGTATTTTAATTGCCACTCTAGCTTCCCAGTAATATGATAACCTATAATTGATCTAGGCCTTTGTTTTAAGTAAGAAGAGCCATGCTTTGAAGCCATCTGCCAGTTTCTTGGGAATAGCCAGTGTTGTATGTACAGGACACAGGCACCAGCCATGGGTTGCAGGTACATTTTGGATATCATAGCTGAAGGAATCTGTATTTTCCATGTACTGGGGTGATGCTTGTATGCCTTGACCTGCCATTGCAGTCTCTTGGCATTTGGCAGGGGAGGTACCTCAATGGCAGAGTGCTTCCCTTGAACATTTAAGGATGCAGGTTCAGTACTCAGCATCACCTGTTAAAAAGAGTAGATGGTAATGATATGAAAGACTTTTGAAGTCTGAGCCTACAGAGAGCCAATGCCCAGACAGAGTAAGCACTACTGAGCTTGGTGGACAAAAGTCTGACTTGCCATAAGATGACTTCATCTGTTGTAAGAACAATAATGGATGCAGTGAGGTAATGGTGCAGGGGAACTTAGAGTGCATTCCAGTACATGTTGAGACAGAGAAAAGTCCTACAGTTGGTGCAGGCTGAGAGTTGTAGGCCTCTTCCATATCTGAGCATGCATAGGATCATGTCTTTAGGATTGTTTGCAGTGTTGGTCCTGCTTACACGAGACTTAGCATTCACTCAGTGGTAACAGTGGTTTTGTAGTCCTTTCATGAAGATGCATTTTGGCTGACTTGTTTCATGCTTTCCAAGTGGTAAGCTTTTTCCTTTGATGATGTTTGTGTTCAGCTCCAGTTCACTTGTTCAGGAAGTACAGTGATGCCTCTGTGAATAGGACAACATGCTCCTTCTAGACATACCCTGAATTCCCTTTTGGAGTTATAGAACTATAATAAATAAACAAATGCAGTGATCAGGGCACATATGTCCGCATTTATTTATTTATTGCTGCTGAGGGTTTTCACGATCTTTTGAATAACTGCTTGCCTCATTGCCTGTGGTGAGGCAGAATTACCTCCAGGAGAGCAGGTCTAGGAGTGCAACAAAAGTTGTTTTGTTTAGAGGAGTCTGGCGCTCACTGTAAGTGAATGGAGTTCCTCAATTATTAGATCAGTAATGATAGACAAAATGCCGGGAATGGCAGCTTGACTGCTGCTTTCAGTCTTCCCCAGCAGAGACACAGAAAGAACATGCTTTAAAGTGTTTAATGCCTGTGCTTACCTTGCTCATTTCCCACATCAGCAGAATATAAGGTCCAAGATCTGAAAGCTACTGCCACAGGGCATACCTATTTAAAGGTTACATAAGGGAAGATGGGCGACTAAAATTGTTGGTTGGCCTATAACTTTTGCGGTCTTTGTTGTTTTGGACTTCAACCTCCCATCAGTCCCAACTAGCATGGCTGATTGTCAGGAATCCTGTGAACTGTTGTCCAAAGCATCTGCGGGGTGCCAGGATGGGAAGGCTATCCTAAAGCTTGTGGCTGCATATATTTCTTCAAGCAATTCACATTATTCCTATACGATGGCACTATTAGCATGGCATATCTTGTTTACCTCTGCTTCTGTGGCACTATCTAGGTGGTGAGGGTATATCCATGTGGGGATTAATTTGTGGAGATTCCTGCTTGAGGGCATGTCACTGCTGCTAGATATCCCCTTGGGTCTGGTCCAGCTTTCTGCTTCTGTGACTTTGGTTTCACTGGAATGCCTCTTTTGTTTTCTAGGCCAGGAATGAACCTGATGTGTATGAAACAAGTGATCTTCCTGAAGATGACCAAGCAGAGTTTGATGCGGTAAGAGCATGGGGAATTCAGTTGCTTTTTCAGTAGCATTTCCATTTTGATGAATGGGTATACCAGGTCCTCAGGCCATGCTGAAACTGTTGGCTAACTTAACTTGTGTTATTTGGTGCTGTGGTGGATTTAATATGAAGACTGTATGGCAGGGAAGGGGAACCCTCCAGATGTGATTGGACCGGAATTTCCATCAAGTCTTTCTCATGGCTATGCTGGCTAGGACTGATGGGAGTTGAAGTACAATAACATTTGGAAGGCTGTGGATTTTCAATTCCTGTTACATGGAGTAGGGAGATGTGGTAGCATTTGGTAGCCTAAACCTTTCTGAAAATATTCTGGATTTTCAGATTATTCTTAACTTGAAAAATCTGAAAACTCTGCAGATTTTTCTGTATCTTGAAAAATAAGGAAGTTTGTAAACAATTGGCAATTGTTATTATGGTTTTGTTGTTTTAAATTGATGTTGGTTTGTTTGCCTTTTAAAACTTTTGTTAACGAACCTTCGAGTCTTGGCTATTGGGTGGTATAAAAATGAAATGAATGAATGAATAAAGCTACTGCCCACTGTGGCTGCTTTCCTTTCTTTCTAGTTTGATCCCATAAGATAATTCCAAGCTATACAAATATTCTAAGGTGGAATCCTGCTGTTCCTTAATAACACCTACTGAAATTTGGATTAGACCATTAATCCATTTAATGAGTGAATCTGAAGACTTGATTGGATCAGAAAATGTTTGAATTTGTTCTTACTTCTGTTTGCCAGGAAAAAGCTGTGCTTGTTTGTGACAAGCACAAACTTTGTATGTGCATGATTTTTTAAAAATCTTTAATATTAGTTGTACAAGAAATTGGATAATGTTATCTTGGGAGTACAAGGCTTTCTTTGCATGCTATTGAAGTACCCCAGGCACCCCTTCACCTCAAAATTAATTGGGGGCATTAATTGACTTTTGTTATGGAAGTCTTGCTGAAATGAAGATTTAATATAAGGGGTGAGCAATTAGGTGCAACAATTAACAGTTCTGGTTTTGGAGAAGGGATTTCAGGAGATGCTAGGGGAAAAAAAGTGGCTGCCTGAGAGTGGCATAAGGTTTGCGCCACCATAGTCAATATATTTGCATCAGTTTGGTTTCTGGAATCAGGAAAGTTAAATTAACCTTAAATCATGCAGTGGAGCTCTAAACTGAGGTGTAGAGTCCCAAATTTTCCTGCTGGATTGCATGGAAGTTTGTCTTCATTTTAAGTCCATTTCCGAATTTTATGACACAGGAAGCTATGAGTGTCATGATTTTAGTAGGAAATACTTTTGATATGTATTCTTAGGAGGATCCAAGCCATTAGATGACTCTGTTAAGGTCTTTCCTCTAGCTAGTGATCCTCTTTGGTGTTAGTTTCTCTCTTCCTCTGTACAAAAATCAATCATGAATTTAGTTGGGAGCCAGAGGAAGGATTGATGGGTGGTGGAAAAAATCACATTATGAACTTGGCTCAAATTCAGAGGGATCAGAACTTGGCTCATAATGCAGCAAGGAATTCCCCCAGTTCTGAATTCTTACAGTGAGACCAGTGTTCTTGACATTGTGCAAGAGCTTCAGTTTCTCTGACAGGCAGTCTCCCTACCACCCTTGATCATCTTCTGCAGCCTGGGTTTGCCAAAAAGAGTTGGATGTGTTCTAAGGGATGGGTGGGCAAAAAGTGTTTTGGTCTTTAGCACCAAGCATTCCTGACCATCTGCCATGCTGGCAAATGCTTCTGGGAGCTGAAGATCTACTCCTGCCCCCTTGCTCTAAGGCATTCACTTTCTGGCTGCAGAGATGTGACAAGAGCTTTGTTTGAACTGACTGTGCATGCTAGAACATGCCTCGCAAGTTTCTACAGTATGCAGGTATCCCATGGCAGATACATAAGCATTAGTTTATAGCCAAGCTGATGTAGGAAAGCTCCCCTAAGATAGAAAGCCTGTACATTTCTACTCCTGTGAAAACGAATTGTAGATTGCTCTTAATCATTACGCTCACATTCATAATTCCACTTTCTGTAGAAAGTGGAACTTAAAGTTACATTTTCTACAGTAGCCTTCCCCAAACTGGTGCCTGCCATATCCTTTGTCTACAGCTCCCATCATTCCCGTTCAGCAAGATTTGTTGTCAGGGATGCTAGAAATTATAGTCCAAATTGTCTGGCGGGCAACAAGTTAGGAAAGGCTGCCCTATGGAGTATAAGTGCTCCATGGCAAATATATAAGGGTTCCTCTGCAGCCAAGTTGATGCCTATGTTCCCCTACGGAAGAAAGTTTTTGAATCATTTTCTATAGAAAGTGAATTTTAGATCACAGTTTACTGCAATTGTGCAATTTCATAAATATAACAATACTGTAGTAAATGAAATGAAAACTCATGATTGCTCACAGGACATCAGTAGCAACTTGAATTAATGGGAATGCAGTTCCTTTTTTCTTTCTTGCCAGCCTGTCCTGCTGAGGTGCCCTTCATGTGCATCCACCCTGAAGCCTCTTTCCATGATGAAATGTCACATGACTTGGGGACTGTGTGTGAATGACATAACCCATGAGAGGGGTGCTTATGTTGGCCTAGAGATATGAAGACCCAAGCTGGGTGGACTGAAAAAGTCAGGAAAAAGTTTTATTTTCTGAATTTTTTTCCAAGAACCAGAGGAAAAGAAAAATGAAATGCCTTGGATCATGAAATATTTTCTTGTAGAATTTAAAGCAAAGTGTTTATGTATTGTTACCCACTCTTTACTTCCCAGAAAAATATAGAAATGTCTGGAAATTATGAACCTTTGGGGAAAATGTAACATAATTAACACAGTTATTTCTTCCATTCTTTATTAAAATTATTGATCTAATGTATCTTTTACTAATAGACGTTTAGATGTGCTCAATTTTCCACCATGTGATTAGAGTTACAGTAAGCTTTCCCTCCACTATCACCAGATGTAACAAAATAGCACATGAATCATCCCACCTGTGTTTCTTTTTCAATTAATGTTGATGCTTGAGTCTATAGTACTTACTACCACAATTTTTATTCTAGATCTCAGTTAGACCACAGCACTAGTGAAGGATGCCTCAGCTATAAAGCCTTTTAACTATTGTCAATAGAATAAACTTGTTTTAGTCCAAAAGAAACTTCATAGCCTGGTTCCTGTGGGGTAGGCATGGGACTGACACTATCATTCAAGACAACCTTCCACAATGAACAAAGACTAAGATGTTGATTAATGGAAATCATGTACAAAATGTATCAAGTATCACATTTCAGACAATAAGTACCTTCCAGGTAGTTGCTTACCAATGTGGTTGCTTAGCATTTCTAAGATGAATTTTTCCTTTCTAAATAAAAGTTCTGTAGCTTTTTCTTCAGGTCAGATTTTTCTAATCTCCATGTCACAAATAGGATTAGGTTCAAGATTTTTCCTAAACTTCCTTACAAATAGGAATGGATGCTGTATATCAGTCTTCCTCTGCCTACAGTTTGTCTTCTTGCTTCTGGCCTCTAGGATGCTTCAGATATTTCAGGGACTGTTTAATCAGATGTTAAATAGGGACCTAAAATATGTTATGCATTTCTTACTTAATCAAATTATCAGTTTTGGTATATTTATTAAATTTCAAGTCCTTATTAAGGCAGAAACCAAGTTATACACAATTTTAGGAACAAAATGGGTGCTTTATGTTTCTAAAGCAGCTCCCCAACCTGATGACCTCCAGATGTTTTGACGCTAGGCATTCCTAACTGTTGGTCATGCTTCATGAGGCTGTTGGCAGCTGAAGTCCAAAATATCTGGAGAGCACCAGCTTGGGAAAAGCTGTACTAAAACAATAAAGTATTGCCTATTTAAAAATTTCAAGAAAGATTGCTTCTTTATTTGAGCCTCTCCCACTTGGAAACCAATTTCCTCCCCTGTGAGAGGTGCTCCCTCAAATGGAAACAGCCTGCAAGATTCACCATGCTGGTGGGTTGCCTTATTTCTATCCAGTCCCCATGGAAAAATAGCCCCACACTGCTGTGGCTGCTCATGAAGGACACCATAGGTCCAGATAATCAGTAGGAAGCAGCCCCATGGCTGGGGCTTGGTGCTACTGTAGCGCTTGAGAAGCAATTGTTTAGCGAGTCAGGAAGGGGCTTTTAAAGGGCACACTTAGAATCAAGGGGCGGAGTTCTGGCTGTATCTTGTTCTTGCAGAGCTCTGTTCTTGCAACTGGGTGCGTGTAGTAGTTGACTCCCAGACTAGCATGTAGAAAATCAAATATATCAACAAACTATAACTACTCCTCAGTGCTGAGTGGCTTTTCTGCCTTCCTTTGGGTGTCTGTTCAGAATGTGAGCCTTCCCGGATAAAATGGAATACCCCTAATTCTCCAGCTCTAAGCTTCTTAGAGAAAGGATGAGATTTAAAAAAAATAAGGAGGATTCTGAAACGATACAGTTAATGATGGCTTATCTTAATGGGTGAGTTTGGACAGCAACCAACCCTGCTACTAACCTATGTGGTATGGGTTGATAGATGAACGAGCTTATCATGGATTATTCTTTCCCTCCCCCCTCCCTCCCTCCCCCAGTACCCCAGCTAATAGGTGTACACCAGCAAAGAACTGGGGGAAAACATGGATGAAATTGTACACATTTGTGCTTCCCCAAAAAAAGTAAAAAAGATAAGGGGCCAATGATGGTTGCTTCAGAATGCCTTTTAGATATTTGTGGAGTAGCTGTCACCATTGGCGACATGGGTGAGCTCACCAAAAGCAGCAAGGATGTTTTTGTTTTGCTGCTCTTACCAAGCAACTTGTTCTCACTTTCCAGCAACTCATAATGGATCAGTTTCCCAATTACAGATGACATGACAACCCATTGCAGGTTCAGCAACCCCTAAAAAAGACCATAGGATGTCAGGGTGTTCTGTTGCCCTAAGACAATCAACCCTGCAGGAAGCTGTCTCAGTTTGGACAACATGTCAACCCACCACGACTAGTT